TGCTTTAATTCAAGTCATGTAACCTAATTGCAAAGCAACTTTTGGCCTAGAATTTAATTTTAACTTTTCCTTTAACCTCAAGGGCAATTTTTGTTTAAATTTGGCACTTTCTTTGATAACCATGTCTTCTTGCATCCTAGGGCTTTCTTATGAAACCACTTGACTTATTCACTGCTCCTTTACTAAGATTTTTTTTTTCCTGGTGCTGGGAATCAAATCCAGGAACTCCTACATGCTAAGCAAGCACCCTGAGCTACACCCTCAGCCCTGTTGTTTCTTTAAATGTAATCCTTATGCCATCTTCATTTTAGCTATTGTTGCTTTTTAAAAAATGTCTGCATATCATCCTTATTCCTGGATGATAGCTTTGGGTGGACATAAAATTCTGAATGGCATACATTTTCTTTTCTTTGAAGAGATACACTCAGGTTTCTTCTAGCATCTTTTTTTTTTTTCTTTTTGAGAACTCAGCTGCTTTGTTTTTCTTCATTGCAAAAAAAAATGTCTTTTCTCTCTGATTGTTTTTAAAGTCTTTACTTTCTCTTTATTGGTCTTCAGTTCCACTGTAGTTCATATATTATGTCCAGGTGTACATTATTTTTTTATTAATACTTTTGCAAATTTGGGGGGATTTTTTGAGTCTCAGAATTGCTGTTTTTATCAATTCTGGAAAATTCTCAGCTATTTTCCGTTTGAATATTGCCTTCTATTCATTCTCTTTGTTCTCCTCACAGGAACTGTGATAAACTTATAATGACTTTCTTGCTTTATCTTCCATATTGCTTAACTTCTGTTTTACATTTTTATTTCTTTATAAATATATGTTGTTTTAATTTTGTAACTTAACACTCTCTTTCATGAATTCCCTTCATAGTCAGTGGTCAATATTTTGTGTTTAATCCATCTATTGAGTTTCTCATTTTAATGACTGAGTTTTTCATTTCTAAAAATTTTATTTAGAAATTTTGAAAAATTCTGCCTGCTCATATTTTATAATCTCTAATTACATATCATGCATTTGTCTATTATTTTTCTTTCAACTTATTTCTTCCATATTCAGTATTTAGTAATACTAATGAACACAATTCTTAGAGTATTATTTGGCAGGCTTTAAAAGTATTTTCTCCTAGGGTTGGAGTGGTAGAGTGCTTTCCTAACTAATATGTGTGAGGCCCTCGGTTTGAGGTTTGATCCCCAGCATCACACACAAATAAACCCTGTGTATTCATTCATATTCTCTCTCTCTCTCTCTCTCTCTCTCTCTCTCTCTCTCTCTCTCTCTCTCTCTCTTCTTCATGTGTGGGAATATTGTGAGGCTGCAGTTTGAAGGTCACTTTGGTTTTTTTTTTTTTGGTGCTGAGAACCCAGGGGTGCTTAACCATTAAGCTACACCCCCATCCCCTTTTATCTTTTGTTTTAAGACAGGGTCTTTCTAAGTTGCTTAGGGCCTCTCTAAGTTGCTAAGGCTGACCTCAATTGCCTTAGCCTCCTGAGCCACTGGGATTACAGGCATGTAAAAGTCATTGCTTTCAAAAATATTTGTTCTGGTTTCTGCAGGTGAATATGGGATAGGATCACTTAACATTTGACTTATGGAAAGAAAGCTATGTAGCATTAGTTAACTTCTTTCCCAATCTCAGGTAAAGTTAGGCTCAAGCTTGAAGAATTTCAGGAGATAATTTTCTTTTTCTTTTTTCTATACATATTCATGTCCAAATATTCTACCATGTCCCTCCACTTCTTTTCTTTCCCATTTTTCTAATTATCCTTGGGGAGTCTTGGGAGTTCAGCCCAGGGCCATACCCATGGTAGGCTAGAGCTCTACCCGTGAGTGACATCTCTCCCCCTTTTCCATTCAACCAAAGATTGCACTGCCTTTCAGGATCCCTGACTCTGTGGGGTGGTTTCTAATTCCACCTTTCCTTTCTAAGTGCTCTCTAAACTGTAATTTTGATTGTTCTTTATGCCCGTGGCTCATTAAAGCCAAAGCTATATGTCACTATAAATGTCCCATTACCTCTTCAGATGCCTCCAAAAATTCCTAATTCCCTGCCAACTCAACCATGCATTTAAAAATTATTTTAAAAATATTTTATCCAGTGGGCAAACTTAATGGCCAGATTGTGGTTTCTAAATACTACTTTGGAGAATGGCAGCTCTAAGACTGGCTCAGGGAAAGTATACCGTGAGCCTGATATTCTTGCTCTGCCAAGAAGCAAGCAAGTTCTGGATGGAGATGTGGTGCAAGCAGCTAGGAATCAGTTTGGGAACAAGTTTAACATAAAAATATACAATGAGGGGCTGAGCGGTAAAGTACTTCCCTGGCACGTGTGAGGCACTGGGTTCGATCCTCAGCACCGCATAAAAATAAATAAATTTTTAAAAATGTTTAAAAAAAGAGAATGCTTTAAAAAAAAGTATAATGACTAAAATTGACTGCAACCACCAAATACATGAAATCTTACAACTCCACCAAGGTGTCAGAGAGTATGAAATGTGATCCATTGAGGAGATTACGCTACTAATTCCCTATCCTTAGAACTAGTAACTAAAGGAAAAGTGTATCCACTGGCTCAACTCTGGGGGATGTACAATTCCACCCCTAATAATGACATAAAACTCTTGAAAAACAAAAATGAAAATCCCTTAAAAAAATTCTAGTTAGAAAAGAAAGGGAATGAGAAAACCAGGAAATGATTATTTTGCAACCATGAGTTAAATAATTCAGAAAGGGGTTATCATGGAGGCTAAAAATCCTTAGGGGAAATGTTCTTGAAGAATAAGATATACAGGAGACCCAAGTATCAGCAAATACCCAAATCATTCAGTATTTGCAAAAGGCAAGGGAAAAAAAATACTTTTACAGAGCAGAGATCTGGGAGTAATCCTTTTGAGCACAGGATGAATCCAATCTCACTAATAATGGCCCTTGTGACATTGTGTGCTCTGATGAATTAGCACAGGAAAGGCAAAACGCATTCTTGCCCAAAGTGCTTACACCTGGATCAAATCAAGCCTGCGTCTCTAACTTTGTAATTGTAAGACATACTTGGGGTTAGAAAAACAAGAAAAATGACACCATGAGGGAGAGAACTTGTAGAGATTATGCGACCTTGTACAGTCACATTAGCTAAGACCCTTCAAAATGTCAAATGCACAGGAAAAAAAAAAAAGTGGGAAGTATTAACTTAGTTTGAATCAATGTCTCAAACAAAGACTGAAAAGTGTATTTGGAGAGAAAACTGAGAAATTTTGAAATAGACTGACAATTAAATGATTTTATAGAATTAGTGTGGATTTTAAAATATAATAACAATATTTATATTAGTCAGATTTTTCCAGAGAAATAGAATCAATAGGATATATATATCCTATTGATATATATATATATCCTATTGATATATATATATATGATTTATTGTAAGGAATGGCCTCTTATGATTGTGGAAGCTTGGCAAATCCAAAATCTGATGGGAGAGGCTGACAAATAGGAGATTCAGGGGAAGATCTGCAGCAGCCAAGTCCAAAGGTAGTCTGCTGGTGAACCAGGAGGACACAAAGTTGAAGATGAAGTCAAAATCCATCTGCTGGAAGAATTTCTTCTTGCTTGGAGGAAATCAGAATTTTTTTTTCATCCTTTCCACCTAGTGGTGTTACTCATATTACATGTTTGTCCATGCACAGGAAATCAGCATTTTCTTTTAATTAAGCCTTGAACTGATCCAATGAGGTCCACCCATCTTAAAAGAGGCCATCTTCTTTGTTCAAGTCCACTGATTTAAATGTGATTTTGATCCAGAAATACACTCACAGAAACATCCAAAATAAAGTTTGACCAAATATCTGGGCACTGGGACCCAGTCAAGTTTACATATAAAATTAACCATAATAATGTAATGTAGACATGAGTTATTGTTCTCGTCAGATTGTCATGAGTGAGCTATGCTGCTTACACAACCAGGCATGTTTGTGTATTTACACAATATCAACATGTATTGAATAACAACCAATTCACAAGATACATCTCTTTCACCGGCTTTAATTCACTGAACATACTCGTGGTTCTCTTGGGGTCACGACTGAGGCAATCACTAACTCTTTTATTCTACTCCAGTCTCCGTGTCTGATATCCACACCACTCAAGTCATCCATTACATTTCAAGCAATGATATATAGGTTACAGAATGACAGAAAGGGTGGCCACAGGGTTTTAGGATGCTCTGCCAGAAGCAAAGACAGAGAACACATATGAATACAAAGAGTTACCGTAGTTGATTTGATAAGGTTTTCATGAACCAGATTCACAGAGTTGTCAAGATATGGGTCCTGATGGCCGGCCACTTTAGAGTGTCAGCTTAAAGTGGGCCAGGCATCATCATCATGGGCAGCAGAAACTGGGCTTGAGCTGAAGCCCAGAACAGAATTGGAGATACTTTGTTGCTGCAACTTTCTTTGGCAAGGTTCATGACAAGTGACCAGGTGACAGGATCAGTGTGCTGCTGTGTCCAGTCTTGAGGCCTTCCTATTTTATGGGTTTTAGGTGAAGGAATTATGTCTGGTGAGGTGGATAAGCTCCTGTGTCTGATATTTCTGATATGATTTGATATGCTTACGTGTCCAGGTGCTCTTGATTTAATTTGTTAAGTTGGCACAAATAATTTATTTATTAATCTGTGCCTTATGGTTTTGCTGGGCAGATGGTGGCTGTTTACTTGCACAAACAAGGTGTAGAGTAATTCTACCTTGGCACTTGTACTCAAAGTAGAATAACTCATGGCAAACTGCTGCTTTATAATGTGGAGCAATCAGGTCTAGACACAGTCTGAAAACTACTGCTCTATATGCATCATATTGGAACTCAGAGCAGGGCACAGCTGCATTCCACACAGATGCATATGGAAATATTTAATGATAAAGGGCCAAATTACCTGCAGTTCACTTTTAAGTAGTTCAGAATATATGTGTATTTATGCCTACATAGACACACACACACATATAGCAAAGTTTGAGTAATTGTTTATTCCAAACATTGGGTTAAAGAATTAAGAATAGGGCTGAAGATGTGGCTCAAGTGGTAGCGCGCTCGCCTGGCATGCGTGCGGCCCGGGTTCGATCTTCAGCACCACATACCAACAAAGATGTTGTGTCTGCCAAGAACTGAAAAATAAATATTGAAAAAAAAAAAAGAATTAGGAATACTTTCTCTTCATCTAGACTTTTTAGTCTTTGGAGGATACTTTGTAAGGCATCTTTTCTGTTTTGTTTTTTTAGAAGTGTACACCTAGAGCACATTAAAGGTATATGAAATTTTATTTTTAGTTGTTATTAATAAATGGTTGAGGATTATAAAACACCCAGTTATTTTTCACAATAGGTTATTTCCTTCAGAAAATATATGGCTAATACTCAATGTATAAATTTATCTTTACAGAAAATATTAAGTTAACACTTCCATTATTTAGATGCTAGTTTATTGGAAAAAGATATATACATATTATGAAGCACAGGGCACATATCAAAGCTTGTTTATGATTGAATTACTGATATGTTTCTTTCAATACCTATGTTTCTACTGATCACATTTGCTAATGTTATTCTTTTTATATATTTTTTGAAGTAGGAAAAATTACATATTTTGTGTTCTTATATTTATTTAGGCAGGAATTTAACTCCTTTTATATAAACAAATGTTGTTATTTTATATTTTGAAATTTTTCTTCACGTGAAAGATTTTGCCTTTCTTTTCTTAATTCTCTACTAATGGGAAAATGTAAAATTTAAAATCTAGCAATTAATGGAAGAATAATAACAAAATTAATAAAAAGGTTTTATTTGGAAAATTTCCTGAGAAATAATAGTTTGTATCTTTAGATATTATTACCCTACTGCATACACATAGCTATCACAGTGTGAAAATACTAAGTTCACTACTAAAAATATAAAATTTGAATAACCTTTTAAATTTTAGTTACTTGATAGTTTTCGACAAAGAAAAATAACCTGTATTGTACTTGAAGGCAAACACATTAGTTAAGACAAACACATTGAGATTTAATAATAAAACTCTAAAATAATGAATTTCTAGTTTTCTTTTTTTTTTTACTTCAAATTTAGGCTTCCTGTTGGTCTTTGACAATTTTGTAATTAAGATCATTTTTTATATTTGTGAAATATTAACTACCTTAAAACAATCAATTTACTTTAGAAGAGACTATTGGTGCACTAGAAATCTAAACATAATATTTTATGTGTTTTATTACTCTTTGAAATTCATCAGCTATTTGAAGCCTTCAAAGAAACAATATTCAAGGCAACACTGAAGTCATCTCTCTTCTCTAGGAATATCTAGAACACAGAATTCTCTAGGTTAAACATAGTTCAGTCAAATAGCTTCTGTGTTTCCACTAAAGAAAAAACACTTTAAGTTCAAAAACAAATTTTTTTGGTTTCTCCCCCAATTTTTAATTTCTCATTGAAACAGAAAATGACTGTAAAAATCTTATCTGTTAAGAAGAGTGAAATCCTTACATTTTAACACTTAACTATGGAACAGCCAACATTCTTAAGCAAAAATATCTTTAGAAATAATTTTAGAGAGAATCAAAATCTGATGTTGGAACTTAGTCTCATTTTTTTTGAGTTGTAGAAAGCCCAACATTGGAGCAATTTGGGGGATTGTTTCAAATTTAATAGTCATTATGACTGAGCATTTAGAAATCCCAAGATGACTTAAGTACCAGGGAAAACCACTGATTGTGAAGTCAGAATAGCTATGTGACATTAAGAAAGCTCTTATAGCAATGTTTTTATTTTTTCGTTTTAAAGAAACAAAATCATACCAATATTCCCTACATGCTGCTTCATTGTTCCACTTGGCCATGACTTAGAACTTCACGTAGCATTAGAATCTTCATGTTGTCCTTGGTTGTTACAAACCTCCCTATTGCTGTCCATCTTTGTCTAAAGATCAGATCTCTGAAAGCCAATTTGTTTCTTTTTCTAGGAGAACAACTGTTCTCAAAAATGTTCATCCTATTACTGCAGATGTACAATTATGAGGCTTTTACATTCGATTTAATGCTTTTCTTAGATAGGTACATAGACATTTCTATGAGTCAATCTGAGTGTATTACATAACAATATTCCTAACTTTCCTGACGTGGGCTAAATTTGGACATCTGAACATTAGCTTATGTAGGAATGTTTTATACTGTCCCCTAGTGGTGATTGCTTATCCATCAACAACTTAATTTTAGCAGGTTGTCATTGTTACACAAGTGTTTGCATAATTGTTGAGTACTCTCTTAGATTAACTTTTTAAAGTTGTTTGTATATATGAAGCTCTGTTCCAGGCACTAGGGTTAAAGCAAATATAGAAAAAGAAAAACAAAGTAAAACAAAATCCCTATTCTTATGGAGCTTATATGCTGTTGTATTTTTGTCCTTTTTAAAAATAAAAATGAAAGAAAAAAAGAAAAAAATAAAGTTTTAATACTATATTTCATACAATTACAACAAATTATGTGCTAAAAGTTGAAAATGTAGGCTGGATGGGTGCTAAATGTGTTGAATATTTTCAGCTATCTCCTATAATAAATAGGAGATACAAAATTTTAAACATATGTAACTGTTCAAATATGAAGAAGAAAAGATTTTACAGTACTTTATGTTATAAAGTATTGTAAAAGTACTTTAAGTATTTTGTTCACAGAGGCATTGATCTGAAATTATGTGTATTCTGGGACTTCAAGATATGTTTTGAATAATGAAAGCCTGGCTTTTTCTTTCTTCATGGACAGTAGTTAGAAATAATGAAAAGGCTTAAAGTGAGAATAAAGAATGTGATGTTGGATTGAAAGGGTAGGTATTGATACTGATTAATGAGGAGGGATAGCTAGGTAGGTAGGTAGATGTAGAAATAGACAATAGATGCAGGCAAGTGTGGGTGTTTATGTTCAGCAGATCTCTCCTCTGAGAGTGTCCAGAGAAAGAATAGCTTAGTTGTAATAAGCACACCTACTACCCACATCTTGGTTTCTAAATATCATTCTCTTTTTCTTTTCTTTTCTTTCTTTCTTTCTTTTTTTTTTTCAGGAGAAATGACTGATTCCTGGAATGGGAAAAATTACCAAATGAGCCTGGAGCCTGGAATGGAAAATAGTGCCAGAAAATAAGGAAGTGCTCTGAAAATGATAAGGGCATACTGAAAGGACATTGTATCCAACTTGGAATACCCAGTGACGATTGGTGGGACATTTGAGAAATAAAATAAATGACAGTGTTGGAGTATAACCAATAGAATAAAATACATCTCTATGAAATCATAATAGTATAAACATATAATTGGACAAAAATTGTAAAGGGAAGAAAAAAATCATCTTGTTATCTTAGAATACCAATTAATATATGAAGGTGAAATGATATATATATATATATATTTTTTTTTTAAATCATCATTTCATCTGTAATAATTATTTTAGGCAAGAATATCAACAGAGCCTAATATTAATGGTAAAAGTATTGTGAAGAATCAGAATATTTTCATAATTTTAAGGCATTTTGTCCATAAGATACTTATTAATTATAAAGGGGAAAATAGTACCTTTACAGTGGTGAAAACAGACAGATATCATCTTAACCCAAGTAATCAAAGTTAGCAACACCAGTAGTAAAATATTACTATGATGCCTAGTATTACAATTTGGATCTTAAATATCACCCAAAAGTGTCATGTATCAAAGAATTGGTTCCCAGCTAATGGCACTGTTGGGTGGTGGTAGAAACCTTAGGAGGTGGGCCTAGTAGAAGGAATTTAAGTCATTGGGAATGTGTCCTTCAAGAGGATACTGGAATATTGCCGCCCCCCGACTTTGCTTTCAAGCTGCCACGAGTTGAATAGATCTTCTCTGCCACACACTGTACTTTCTCAACACAGGCCCAAAGGCAATAGAGTCAACTGACCATAAATTGAAACCTCTGAAACCATGCACCAAAATAAACCTTTCCTCCTTGTAAGTTGATTACCTCAGGTATTTTATTACAGTGATGGAGAGCTGACTAACAGACCTGAGAAGGTCATCATACCATTTCAGTGATATTCTTGCCGAAAGTGCAGAGCTTCAATTTAATAATGGGAAAACATTAGATGGATCTAAATTGAAGAAAACACTACAAAACAATTGGCCAACTGCTATTCTTTGAAAGTGTCAAGGACATAAAAAAACAAAGACAAAGAACTGTCCAAAATGAGAGAAGATTAATAAGATGTGGTTATTAAATGCAATGTCCAAGCCTGGGTTAGATCTTGGGTTAGGAAAAGAACATTAATGGAATAATTGGTGTAATTTAAATGCCTATAAATTATTTAGTGGCATTTGACGTATCTTGGTTATGATAATTACAATATGGTTGTATAAAATATCAATTTGGAATAAGTTGAATGAAGGGTATATTGGAATTCTTTCATTTTATTTTTGTTAAGTGTGAAATTATTTCAAAATAAATAGATTAAGCAATAACAGTTAAATTAACAATATTTTAGTAGAAAAACATTCTATCAGTTGAAATAAAACTTTCCCCTTCCAATTTCTTTAAGACTTAAAACTTGCAAATCTGTCATTTTTATTTTCACACATTCAAATTTAGGTATGATTTTAAGAGCTTATTTTGTGACTGCTTGTTATAATCTCTAGAGTAATAGAATCATTAATGGTGACTAATTGAGTAACATTTTTTTACAACAGGCAAAAATCTAACAGACAATTTAATTTGCAAACTGTAACTGGAATGACAATTGTCATTATAATTTAGCTTTGATTGGTGGGGTGTTTGGAGTTCTTTTTTGGTGCTGGGGACTAAACCCAGGACCTCCTACATGCTAAGCATGCGTTCTACCACTGAATTACTCACTAGTCTCTGATCACTGGTTTCCAAACTTGAGATAGCATCAAGAATGGATGGTGATAGACTGATTAGAATGAAGAGTTTCTAATTCATCAGTTCTGGGGTGGAATCTAAGACTTAAGACATGTTTCCTGGTAAGGCAGACCATATTGCATTTTAAACACGTTTCCTGGTAAGGCAAACGGGGCTTGTCCTGGGGCCACATCTGACAACTACTAGTTTAGGCAATAGTTTGAAATTGTAGGATTAACCTA